CTACAAGATTACGTACTATATATTGCAATCTCTCCTAAGCTCTAACAATACGCTAAGCGATTTACAATTCTAGCAACAAAAAAAACCTATTACAATATATTAGAATTGAAGCAATACTCGTAAACTCGGAACTCCGATGGTTGCTTTGGTGACTAGCTTGTAATTTTAATAATTTTTAAGCTAATAGCTAAACCATTAGAAGATAATTCAATAATTAGCTTGACCAAGCAAATTAGTTTGGTAAGCTATTTAGCTTAGAATTTAATTATCTTTAATAAAATATTAACTATTTAAAAAATACAACTAAAAAAACTAAATGACAATTAGCTTTAACCATTGCGGTATAGGAGCAACTATAATGGCAATCTAATTGCGAAATTAGCTTGCCATGCCACCTATGGTAGTAAAGGTATACTTCCTTTTAGCAAATTTATACCACAATGGTTAAGCTAATTGTCATTTATTTAGATTTTTCAGCTTTATTTTTTAAATCATTAATATTTTATTAGAGACAATTATTTCTAAGCTAATTAGCTTAGCCAAGCTCATTATTGAATTATCCTCCTATGGTTTGGTTATTAGATTAAAAATTATTAAAATTGCAAGCTAGTCCCCAAAAGCAATCATTGGAGACTTGGAGTTGCTCTTAAATTAGCTAGAAGGAAGAATAGTTTTGCAATCCTAGGTGGCATGACAAGCTAATTTGACAATTAACTTGTCATTGATGTTGTTCTCAATTCAACCTCGCTCTTGCTTAAGCAGTTAAGATTTTTTATTTTATTTTATATTTTTTTTAAAGAAAATTTAAAACATTATACTTAACATTTATACTTCCAACTCTTACAAAGTATACCCTAATTCCCTAAACTTTAAGTACCTCTATTTAGGTACAGCTATAATAATCCAGCAATATCTTGTAATGATCTGATGATATTTACTTTGAGAAAATATAAAGAAGAACACACAGTAAGCCGTACCCAATATTTCGTACGACAACAATTTTATTTACTCTATTACTTACGTACCTTCCATTCCTTACTGTATCTCTCCTCACTCACCTTCTTCCCAAATTCACTCCAAACTGACTACCATGAAATTTCTCTCTCCTCAACGGCAACATCTTTGCTAAATGGGAGGTCAGTTCTCAAAGCTTGTTTCTTCACCAATTTCTCTGCTAAATGAAATTGACATATAAAAGATGAATTTGTGAAATTAAGGCTGAAAATTATTAGATGAACAAGAAGCACTGAGCTTCAACAATTCAATTCTTCCTTGATCTTCGGTGGAGATTTACCATATTATAGATAATCTGATTAATTTTTCAATGTTTAGTGTTCTACTTTATTTGATTTTTGTAATGATTTTCTACTCCAATCTGATTCATTTTAGTTGTAGTTGATGTTTTTAATTGCTATTGTTGATGATGAATTGATGACATGTGATTATTTTTTGTCGATTCGTGATAATAAGGAAAATGTAGTTTCTGTTGCTTTTGTGGATAAAATACATACTTTTAATTCTTTTCTTATAATTTTTTTTTCCTTTTAGTCTTTCTTATAATAAATGATATCTACTGTTGGCTATATGATATCTTCCAGCCATGATATTATATAGCCAGTTAAGGATATCATCCAACCAGTAGAGGATATTATCCCGCCAATAGGATATCAAAAATATTTCAAAGTATATGATATCATCCAACAAATGAATGATATAAAATAATAATAATAAATGATATCATATAGTCAATAGAGGATATCATCCATCCAATAAAGGATGTCATAGATACAATCATAAATGACATTATATAGCCAATAGAGAATATCATTCAGCCATGATATCATATACCCAATAGAGGTATCCAGCTAGTAGAATATCATCCAGCCAATAAAGGATACCATATAGCCAACAAAGGATATCATCCATCCAGAAGAAATATCATCCAGCCAATAAAGGATATCGTATAGCCAATAAAGGATATCATTCAGCCAGTAGAGGATATCATCTAGCAAATAGAGGATAGATGATATCCTTCATTTAGTAGAGGATATCATCTAGCAAATAGGGGATATCATCCAGCCAATTGAAAATATAAAAAATCCGTATTTCGTTAGTTCGGACTAACGTCAGTCCGGATTAACAAAGTACCTTCTCAAAAAACAATTAGTTTATAGCAAGTAAGCTTAATCATAGTCTCAAAAGCTGCATTCCATTCAAGTCAAAACCCTAAAATTGCTAAATTAAGGGTATGTTCTCTTCCGTTGAAATTCAGTTCAGTTCAGTTCAGCTCTTAATTTATGTCTAATGATATTGCTAATGATATAAAGCCAAATTTCATTCTTTTAAGCTCTTATTACTACGACAACAACAACAACAACAACAACAATAATGATAATAATAATAATAATAATAATAATATTAATAATAATAATAATAATATTAATAATAATAATAATAATAATCAATAAGTAAAAAATAATAATAATAATAATAATAATCATCAATAATAATTGAAATAATAATACTAATAATAATAATCAATAAATAATAATAATCATCAATAAATAATAATAATAATAATAATAATAATAATAAGAAGAAAAAGAAGAAGAATCATCAATAAATAATAATAATAATAACAATAATAATTGAAATAATAATACTAATAATAATAATCAATAAATAATAATAATAATAATCATCAATAAATAATAATAATAATAATAATAATAATAATAATAATAATAATACCAATCAATAAATAATAATAGTAATAATAATAATAATAATCAATAATAATAATAATAATAATAATAATAATATTGATACAATTCATTGTTCAAATGGTTCTATAGTATATTTTTAATATATTTTCCATAAATTTTATAATTATATAGTATATTTTTCGTAAATATTTTAATATGTACATTTGTATATACACATATGTATAGTAATAAATAATCAAAGATCACTAATCCGTAGTTAAAAATCACTAATTAATAAGTTCAGTTCAGTTTAGCTCAATTCAGTTCAGTTCAGTTCAGCTGAGTTCAGTCAATCGGAACAGGCCCTAACCTGGTTATTCTTCATTTGACCACTATTCCCAGCAAATCAAACTATTTGTAATTAATCATATAATTATAAAAAATACCATCCAAACAAAGATTAAGAGCATTATACTCGAGCAACCTAAACAATCAAAATACAAGAAATTTTGAATGTGGATCATTAGGGGCAATTCAATTAGCTAAGTATGTATCTGATGACTTGGGGATGCCTGTATTAGCTTGGGCTCTATTTTCGACATGAGTAGCACCCTATGCATGCAAAGAGTATAATGTACACTATTATGTACACTTATGGTTACCTAAGTAATACTCCATTCATTTTGTAATAATTGCAACAATTCTTTTTATATACTACTTCGTATTATTTATTTCTCTTTATAATAGAAGTAAAAGTTTACTTTATGATCCGAGATCATAAATTTCCTTAAACTCTAATCACATTTAGTTGACATGAGAATTAAATTCCAGTAGGAAATTACATTTCATGGAAATTGGGAAGTTATTCCCCCAAATGAAATTCGTTGGAATTTTCATCATAACCTTGTTTGGTTGATAATTTGGGAATTTAAAATTCTCGTGAATTTTGATTGACCAAAGGAGGCTAGGTAAATTTGATTGACCAAAAGACAATTGTGTGCAATACCTCCTATTGCAACTACTCGTATTACGAAACGGAGAGAGTATTTACGAAAATTGTTACCCAGCTTACGGAATTACCTAACTGTCCCTGAGATACTTCTTAGTTAAAATTAGGCTACTCCGATACTCCTTTTCATACCATAACTGCACCTCTCTCTCTCTCCTCTTTCTAGATCCCACCAACACCACCAAAATGCCGAAAGAATTCACTATCCCACCGGTAAACTTCCCGTCGTCCGGCCCATCTCCGGCGACCACCGCCCCAAACCCCAACATGCTCCACCAACGCCAAGTCCCCACCGCACCATTTCAACCCCAACGCCCTTCTTCCTCCATCCCTTTCATGTCCTTCGACATCGGATCCGCCACCGCCTCCTCCTCCTCCTCCTCCTCCACCGCCTTCCCACCACCGCACCTCCGCCACGATATCCCCTCTTCCTCCTCCTCCGGTGGCCTCTTCTCCGACGAACCCCCTCTCCTCGAAGAACTCGAGATCAACCCCTCCTTAATCTGGCGCAAAACTCGCTCTTTACTCAACCCTTTTCGTGTCAACTCATCTCTACACTCAGACCCAGATCTTTCTGGACCTTTTCTGTACTACATCGCTTTTGGGTTGTTTCAATTACTCGCTGGGAAAGTTCAATTTGGTGTGATTCTGGGTTGGATTGCGATTTCTTCGATTTTTCTTTACATGATCTTGAATTTTCTTGCTGGGAGAAATGGGAATTTGGATCTTTATCGTTGTGTTAGTGTTGTTGGGTATTGTTTGATGCCTATTGTTATCTACTCTGCGGCGTCGTTGTTTCTTCCTCCTACTGGAACTACAGCTGGGTTTGTTGTTGCGGCGGTTTTCGTGATCTGGGCTACTAGGGTTTGCTCTCGGCTTTTGTCCGTTGATGAATTGGGCGCTTCGGAACATCGTGGGTTGATTGCTTATCCTTGTTTCTTGATTTATTGTCTCTTTTCTATGCTTGTTATGTTTTGAATTTGATTGACTTTACTATGAATATTACTATGGAAATTACTATTAGATACTGATGTTATATCAAATTTTGTTATCGAATACGACAATGTACGACTTTGTAGTATCACTTTTGTTATGTAGTAAATGGATATCATCATACTAGTGTTAAATTATGATCGATTCTTTGGTTGATTATGTTTCGGATTGGTTGAGAATTGAAAAAAATTTCGTTGTACGTTGATCGTTTTATGCTTTTGCTTGGGTTGCATTGTTGTTTATTTGATTTAAAGATGTTTGTCCAATCTGCCTTTTGTGTGTGTGCGGACTGTGGAGTAGACTACTGTATCCGCAAAGTATCATGGTTTTCTCATCCGAATAGGGAGTATTAGTTGTACATTATGCTTGTGGTAACATGAAACATATACTTGAATTATTATATGAAGGGTAATGTTATGCATCTCCACCCAAAGACTCGTTTCTGATTCTGAACTTTCATTTGAAAAGGTGCACTTTATCCTGTATGTGCAGAAGGGGAATTTTTGAAGTGAGTTTTTGATGGCGTATAATGTAAACGACAAATCTGCCTTTTGAAGCGGTTTTTTGAGTAAGTTTTTGATGGGGTGTAATGTAGTCTTAGAGTTTAAATTGTGGTGCAGAATGGATTTTGACACCCATTATTATCAAAGATTTATCGTTTGCTGCCCATTGATATCCTCTCTTTGGCTTCTATATCTTTGATTGGAACTACAGTTGGGTTTGTTGTTGCTGCGTTTCTGTGTGATCTGGGCGACTAGGTTTGCTCTTAGGTTTTGGTGGTTGGGCATCTGACTGTCTTTTGATTGATTGATTACCCTTGTTTCTTACTGATTGTCTCTTTTGGTTGTTGATGGTAAATCGAATTTTGGTATTGGAATGCAACAATGTATGATTTTGCAGTATCTCTTTTGTTATCTAGTAAATGGATATCATCATACTAGTGCTAAACTATTACCGATTCTTGTGGTTGATTATGTTTCGGATTGGTTGAGAATTGAAAAACTTTCATTGTAGATTGATTGTTTTACTCTTTTGCTTGGGTTGCATTGCTGTTTATTTGGTTTGTAAATATTATCATATATTCGTATGAGTGAACATTGTGTATAATCAAGAATCAATCCCTTAGTTTATTTCTTCAATTTATGATCATTGGAAAGTGTTGCTGATCATTGATTTTCTGTGTTGCACTTTCTCATTGCATAAATTGCATCCATGAACTCTTCCCAAGTTGTTGGTGATTAGTTACACCTGTGTTAAGATAACCATGCAATATACCTGCCCTGCTTAGCTTCCTTCATTCTCTCTATTTTGTTCTATTACCTGTTTATACAAAAGTCCGAATCCAAGCACTTTCAACTCTCAGGTAGATGGATTATCCTTTATCCTGATAAGAGTTATACTTATGCGCAAACAAATTATCAGGAAATAGTTGAAAATGGGATGGTACTCAATTGTGATATTGCATAATATAGCTAAGAGTACTAAAAGTGAAATAGTTAAAGATGCTGTTGTGAACCTCTCTCTGCATTTGAAACAAAATTAGTTGATATGTTTCCCGCTCTATGCTATGTACTTGAAGGATGAATTCTACTTTTGAATTTTATTAGTATTATTAGATACTATATCAATTATGTGGCGGTTGATGTTATATCTAATTTTGGTATTGGAATACAACAATGTATGACTTTGTAGTATCTCTTTTATCATGGAGTAAGTGGATATCATCATATTAGTGTCGAATTGTTATTATTCTTTGGTTGATTATGTTTCAGACTGGTTGAGAAGTGAAGAAATTTTCATTGTAGATTGATCGTTTTACTCTTCTGCTTGGGTTGCATTGCTGTTACTTAGTGTGTAGTTGTTTGTTCTAACTGCCTTTTGTACAATACTAATATTTGTGTGTGTGGGCGGAGTAGATTATTCATGATCCGCAAAGTATCATAGTTTTCACCTCCGAAGAGGGAGTATTAGTTGTACATTGTGCTTGTGGTAACCTGAAACATTTACTTGAATAATCATAGGCATCTGAATGTCTTTGGTTTATTGATTACCCTTATTTTCTATTTTTTTAAATTTCCTTGAATACTCTACTACTTGATATTTGGGGGGGTATAGATGCTTATATTGGTTGATGTTTTGTGTAAAACAATGTCTTAGTAGTATGTCAAGTTGTGTCTCTCTTTCATTAATGCTGATTCAATTTCGTTTGAATGGAAATCTTTCTCCATTGATTGTATGGCTCTGTTTCGGATCTTTGATATCAATTTGGCTGAGAAGTTAAGAAACTATGGGTTTTTCCTCATAAAAGAAATACAGGTTTGATGTTGATGGTATGCAGAGTTTTGTTGATAAAATTTCGGAGTAATATGGTGCAAGTTCTGAATTCTGTGGGACCAGGCTTCGTTCTTTTGACTCGTTTTCCCTTATCCGAGTTTATTTAAGTTTATTACTTGTACGAAGTATTAATTATAGATGCGAGTAGTTAATAGTTGTGTAAACTTTATATTAGTTTACATAATATGTATTTTTAATACAGAGTAATGTTTAGGATAATATTACGAATTACATGTATTATCTTAGGAAATAGTCTGTATTAGATTCCTTGTAGAATTAGAACTTTAGATGAGTGCCTTGCTTACCAAGTTGTTGTACCTTATATATTCAGCCTTAGTGACCATCATTCAATTCAACTCAATTTTCTGAAGGCTTTCAAGTAAAATAAAAAATAAAATAATAATATTAAAGATGGTTATTTGCGAAGAAAATAACACCAGAGCTATGGACGACAACAATCTTGCTGATAGCATAGAACCATTGAATTTCAGTAAGAAGAAAAAGAAGAAGAGAGTTGCCAAGTCGGAGAACGCGATAGATGGCAATGACAAGGAAGAAGTCATCAGAAGTGATGAGCAGTCGCAGCAACCTTCCCAGGAGGGGACAGACAACGACGGAGATTATCAGTATGAAGAGCTGTTACAAAGAATTTACTCAGGCGGGTTTAGTGAAGGCAGGCAGAAGACAGTTATGAAGCTGCCAGTCCCACTGGTGGCGCGTCAAGGTTCCAAAAAGACAGTTCATGTCAATTTCATGGATTTCTGCAAGATTATGCACAGGGATCCGAAACACCTTGCAAGTTTTATGGAGATGGAACTGGCTACAACTCTGTCTTTGGATGATAAACAGAGGTTGGTGGTTAATGGAAGGTTTGCTCCGAAACACTTTGAAGTGTTACTGAGAAAATATGCCATGGATTATGTTATCTGTCATGGTTGCAAGAGTTCTGACACAAATTTTTCGAAAGAAAATCGTATCATGTTTCTCAGATGCGAGCAGTGTGGTTCTGCGCGATCAGTTCTTCCTGTCAAACTACCGATGTTTCATGCTTGCACAGGTCGTAAAAAGGTTGGGGCATGAGTTAAATTAGCCACAATTATTTCAGTTCAAATCTCTTATTTATAGGAAATTTTATACAGGAGTTTTATCTTTTGAAAATAATATAAAATTTTCCTTGCGTCTTTTATAAATATTTGATGGTTTTATTTATTTATTTATTTATTTTTATTAATCTCTGATATCATGTAGATTCAAACGTTTTACATATAAATTTTTTAGGATAGTGCAAGAATCAAAAGCTATACACCATATCTAGATTAAGGGCGTGTTCTATTTACTAGGTTTTACTTAATTAAACTAATTAGTCCTTATGATATCTTATAGGCCTAATGTCTAAGCAAAATGCTTATTCCAATCTAATTGTGATTATATCAATCTAGTTTCAACTTGCACAAAAGAGAGAAATCAATTAATTAGGATTGTCAGCGCCATGGTTACCTTCTCTATCACTCGTAAATCAAACATATATCCTATGTAATTGGCTTGCTCCACTATACCATATGTATGCATACTTATCTAGAGTTGTTGCTACAACTATGATGAACCTTATAATAAAGTAATGTTCACCTTTTTTCTTATCAGCGCCTCTAGCCACCTTCATTCTCTCTATTTTTCTTCTATTACAGAACCTTTAAGAATACTGTTTGAGGATGTTGGGATGATAGATTGACAGGTCCTAGTTTCAGGCAGGATCATGACAGGCTAATCGAACCATACATTGGACCCGGGTTTGCCCTTGAAATCTCAGTCACTCTTGTGAAACTAATAAGGGCTTATTGTGAATCTCACTATGAATGGGAGGAAAAAAACCGATGCCCTCTGTGAGCATACTAGCATAGTTGACAACAGGTTTCATCAGAGTTGGTTCTACCAAAGCTACATTTCACATAATCTCCCTTTTTCTTTGTACTTTTCAGTCACCATCTTTGTGTCATTTCTCAACACTTTTTGAGGGGTGGAGGGAGTGAATGCTATAATTCATGCCCCGAAAGACCTTCCAGAGTTCCATGGACCCGAGTCACCTGACAAAACCAACGCTAATTTGATAACCAATATCTGGCCTTCTTGAGCTTGTTCAATGATTTCTAGTAGCATAAGTAACACCTAATCCAACGACTTCTGTCTAAACATAAGGTATAAGTTAATAAGTCATGTCTAGGAAAATGTTGGAGCGTTTGTATATAATAAGTCATGTCTCTCAAGCAAAATTTCCAAGGCCGTGAATGGATGTAATGTTACAGTGAACTCTGGTATTGACTTGGGGAATGCTCATGCACTGAACAACCTATTGTTGCAAATATTCACATCCACTATGCCAAGAGCACAATAAAAAAATTTTGAATCAATCAATCAAAGCCTTAAAGTAGTGATACTTCGTATTATTGAACATGTCACAACAGAAAACCTAAATAATGACAAACAAAGTTGATCATCTTCTCATTAATTTCTGTTGATCACGTTTAGGTGCAGTGTACATACGTATACCAACCATTTGGATTTTATCATCTGCAGCTAGGGGTGTTAACGAGTGCTCGCAAACTACTCGCTGCTAGGCTTGGTTAAGGCTCAACTCGACGCAAATTACTGTCATTATCTTATGAGCTGACATAGCTAGAACTCTAGAAGTAGAAACTCTTCGAAAGCATAGAATCATAGCATTTCTGAAATCACCAATTTTAATGTCGTTATTAATACAAAGCTGACTTATAATTTCTGTTTGGGCTCCAAAAATAGTCCTTGGACTGGCCATTAAAGGCCCAAAGATCCAAATGACAAAGAGGTCATTAAAAACAAGTCATGCCCAAGCACATGTACCAGCCCACGTGTGTCAAACTTGACATCCAAAACAAGGTAAATATCACAAAATTCACCAAGTTAAGGTATCTACAAACATTTCCACACAATTACACTTGGATGTATTGAATTCTCACCTTGAACTTCAATCACATGTATTGACTTAGGCATCGGAGGGTATTCTTCGAACACACCCTAAAAGCTAGTTAACGTATTGTTTTGCAGGTGATTTCAACTCAATTAATGTTTGTCCAAACCAATTTTCAACCCATAAATAATGGTAAAAGTCTTTAGCATATTGTTTTATCCGAAATAATTTTTATTCTCTAAGTAACATGCAAATCCAATGCTCTAAAACAACTAACTCACTACTAGTATTATCCTAATTAGTATGACACACGTAGTTAACGCCACATATATATCTCTTCATCCTCCTTCTTATCCTCCTTTCTCTTTGTGTTTCTTTCAATGTCCTACATATTCGTCCTTTTTTATTGCCCACCGCCATACTCGATGAATTAACAATGCACAAGTTTAGGTAGGAACTTAACAAAGTGCCAACGAAAGTATATTCACGTCTTACAAATAATATTATTGATAATTAAAACTAATCATATTATTATTATTATCATTATTATTATTATTATTATTATTATGGGCCTTCATGGATAATGATGGGAAGTGGTCAACTATGTCATACAAAATGAGAAAAATGAGGAGGCAATGCAAAGAGTTGAAAGTAGTAAATGACTTATCATCAATTATTTATTTATTTATTTATTTATTTATTATTATTATTATTATTATTATTATCATTATTATTATTATTATAAAAAACAAAACGTACAGAGTCAATCAATTTACAAGAAATTGGTAGGGAGCCGAGATACAATCTGGGCCCCCACCCCTCTAGCTATAGCGAACCCAATCCTGCTGAAAATGTGAACAGCTGCACGAGCACCAATATCCAGAGTCTTAGCGAACGCCTGAACCCGCTTCAGCAACGCAATAGCATCCTTCTCTAATTCCCCCAACGAAGAAAAGGAGAAAGGAAGAAAACCATAGTCAATAGCCCTGCAACGCGCCCCATACTTGTCCCGCTTCCGCTGAGCCGCCGCCGACACAACACGACCAGGAACGAAGTCAGACAACCCTGATTGTGTCAAAGGTGAAGACCCCGTCAAATCAACACATACATCAAGGCCTCTATCCCAGGAATAAAGCAGCACATCTGCACGTCGTAGAGCCCCGTCGTTTCCTCCAATCAACCCAATGTTAACCTCCTTTCGAGCAGAGATTCCAGACCGAATACAAATATCAACAAGGGTGTCACGAACAACATTATGCCGATGTTTAATACCCACCATCCCAGCACAAGACACTGCATGATCCCCATAAATATTATTATTATTATTATTATTATTATGATTATTATTATTATTATTATTATTATTATTAATAAATTATGTTAGCAATCTTAGCATCATCTTTAACATGTCTTATAGCACACCTATTGGTTGACTCAACCAACTACAAACTGTACTCTTCCTTGAGGATGAAATTAGACAAAACGACGTGTTGACAATTTCTTATGTTTGGACTGCCTTTTTTTAGTTCAAAACCTACTAAATAAATTAACTAACGTATGGATTAATACGTAGAATTTTTCTTACTTAAGTTGTAATATGACCAAGCTCAAGATATGATGATTTATGGACTAGATCTAGTTGTTTTAGTTAAGCATTTTAGTGATGGAATAATAGACTATCAATAGAAATTTTTTTAAAGTAAATTATTTTTGTAGTGGAAAAGACGAAATGTAATCGATATTGAGCTAATCTAGAAATTAAGAATTTCAATGCATAAAATTTTAAATGCCATAGCCAAAAACAATTTGTCTCTTTTCTCCTAATCCGTATTGAGTTAATATACTACCTCCGTTAATTATTAGTTGTAACTTTGATGTATTATTTGAGAGAAATGAAATATTCCAAAATTGCAACTAATATTTAACGGAAGTAGTATACTTCATTGTTATGTTACTTTTCCTTCACTCTTTTTTTTCTTTTTTATTTTTCTTTTTATTTTTTTTGTAAATTTTTTTTGCTATTTTAGTATATACTTTGTATATGTTTTGTTTTAGAGTGGAGGACCATGTAATGATGCTTATTTGCGTATAAATTAATTAAGGAATCTCAAACCTCATTGAGTATGTTAATTTACAAATCACAATTAAATTATTGTAATAGATATTACTTTTAGTAAATATATTAGAAGAATATAGTGGTCTTTTTTAAAATATTACATTGAATTTTGCATGTTTTTGTAATGTACTGTGCTAGATTATAAGAAACAAAAAGTAATAAATCACATTCACACTCCTTGAACTCTTATACTCCGTATTATAAAACTATAAAGAAACAAATTTAATTTATGTTTTTGAAACCTTTACATTAATTAAACCTCAAAGGACCTACATATATTCGAGTACATTTTACCTAGAAATTTCTTATAAATTTAACTTTGCTTAATGATTATAATTAAGCTAAGCAAACATGTTTCCTTCCACCGAACTTTGAATATTTCTTATTGTTGTTTTTGTATAGATAACTACTAATTAAACCACTAATTTGACCAAGTTTTATGCATACTTAACTGTATGTTACCAACCCAATAATTAGTAGGCCTTTGTGCATTAAATCAACGTACCAAAATCATAGTTTAAGTCATCCCTTATATTGTTATATATATACAACTATACTATACTCTTTTCTATACATTCTTCTAATTTAGACGTTGATCATATCAACTCTTCAATTTCCACATAAACATACATAAAATGGTTCGTCCATTTCCTTACCCTATAACAGACCATTTCCAATCCCTTCCGTTAAGCATTGGCATTTTCGTGTCCGTGTTTGCTCTCGTTGCACTATGTGCAAGGCACGGCACCACAAGATCTCCAAGGTCATCGAATAGGTACGACAACAACAATCTATACGAGGAGAAGGGCGCAAAGAAAACATCCAATGCATCTACGACGATAAGTTTGAAGACACCACCAAGGTCTCCCTTGGCCAACCCTAAGAAACTCTTGTCAAACATAAGCAACATCAAGACGTACAATAAAAACAACGATGATTGCAAGGAAATTGACCAAAAGGAAGGGTTCGGCGAAGGAGGGTTATGGCAAAAGGAAATTCTAATGGGAGAAAAATGTCAACCTCTTGAATTTTCAGGCGTGATATATTATGATAATTATGGGACTAAAATTTCGCAACCTCCGCCGAGGTCTCCTAGAGCTAGCGTTGCTAGTAGTTGGCAAGGGAGCATGTCATCATTCCCGGCTTCAAGTCGATCTAGCTCGGACACTAATAATTAACTAGACTATGTGGGAAAAGATTAGAAGTATTTTTGTTGTATGTACAAATTAAATTCTCTATGTGAATTTTCTCAAAGATTGATATAGATGATCAAAGTGAAAAATATGTCAAATTTTTTCTAAGACATGTTGATTGAATGACGATTATAATTGGTGTATGAAGTAGGATTATAATTATCTTTTAATGAACTTTGTTTTTGATCGATTTTTTCTCCTTTGTTGGCTTACAAACCATCAATTTTCTATTTCTATGGAAAGTTGATAACAAATGGGGTTTTTGGTACGAAGTATATAATAAATCTAGATTAAGTTAATAGTAAAAAAATAATTTGCGGGTCTTAACATTCTTGTGTTTGGGTGAGACTACTTTTTGATATTGGTGGTTGATTGGTTGACTTTTAAGTGAGAACTTTGATTTGGAACGCCTCTATGTTGGTTCACTTCTTTTAGGTGTGCTTGTAATATGATATTGATGAATTAGACTTGTGAATTGGCTTGATAAGGTGAGGCTTAAACGAGATTATTTTCGAGTTTATTTGATATCATGGGTCGATATATATTACGAGTCAGATACTATACTCGTAATATAGCCGGCAGGGGCGGAACCAGAAATTTTATTTAACGGGGGCCAAAGTAAAGGGAACTACGATGACGATAAAAATAATGAACATTTTCACACATCAATTTATTAATCCACATATCACAACAACAAAAATATATTTTATATAAGCAATGAATATAGAGTTATAGAACATATTCCAAAAAAATTACCATAGTACTACATGAAGAAAAACATACCTTATCATTTATCTTATATCATTTTAGTTGTGCTCGTCTCTCTTTCATCATATAAAAAGCATCAATGATGGCATCTTCACTAAGTGTTTCCGCTATCTCCTTTTCTATATACACTATTAAGTAGTCCTTCAAAAAATCGTCCTCCATCTTACTTCGAAGGTTTGTTTTCACTATCTTCATGGCTGAAAAAGCTCTCTCAGTTGTTGCAGTAGATGCTGGAAGAGTTAATACGAGACGAATTAACCTTGAAACAAGAGGATAATCTTTTATTTTTTCTGTAGTCACTAATCCTTGACATAAATCACCAAGAGTAGTTAAGTTCTTCAACACTGGATGAATAGGAATATCAAGCCAATAATGTTGCAATTCATAACTCAAATGATCTTTCTCATGTTCTGTGAAATCAATAGGATAAAAATCTCGAGCTAGCTTGCAAATATGCTCTATATTGAATGACTTGTAACCATCTCTTGGATTCAAGGCCGCACTTAAAATGAGAAGTTCAGTAGCTCGCTCACTAAATCTTGCGTTTAGCTCTTGCAATTGACGATCTATAGCAGCCATAAATATATCAACTCTATAGTGATGTTCCATTGTCACATTGTCTTTTTGTCTTGATTGTTGCCTTATAGATTTAAGCACATCAACATAAGGAGAGTCCATGTCGGGAACTGTAACACCATTTTTCTCACAAAAAACTTTAACATTATGTAGCAAACTCTCCCACCCATCATTCCTTAAAGTTTGAAGTAATGTCTTTGTAGTGCAAACTAAATGCATTGCATTTACAATATCTTGGGTCTTCAATTGTAGTGCTTGACAAAGTCCATCGGTGATGGCCATAATCTCCTTCACAACATGTATGTTAAATACGAATTCAAATGACATTAACAACTTAACTCCATTAAGAGCATCTCCTCTCTGAGCATAAGTTGTTCCTTCACTAGCTATGTTAGCAAGAACTAAGCGAGTAGCACAATACATTCTTAACAAACTAGATATTGACTTGTAATGCGAGCTCCATCTAGTATCACCTGGTCGTTGTAATGTACCGATTTGATTGAGACCTTTTCCCGTCTCAAGCCCCTCAATCTCAACTAGATGTTCAATTTCAGCCAATTGAGTTGCTTGTAACTCGTCATGTCGCTTTGAAGAGCTAGTGACCACATTAACAACAAAAATCAATTGTTGAAAGAAAGTATGAATCTGTGGCACTTCCCTAGATGCAGCAACAAGAGCTAGTTGTAGTTGATGTGCCAAACAATGAATGTAATAGGCATAAGGACACTCCTTCATAAATAAAGCTTGTAACCCATTCCACTCTCCACGCATATTACTTGCACCGTCATACCCTTGACCTCTAATATTTTGAAGGTTAAGGTTATGATGAGACAAGACAGCACAAATTTCCCTTTTTAATGTTTTTGATGTAGTGTCTTTGACATGGACCAAATCCAAAAATCGCTCTCTTACCAATCCACTTCTATCAACATATCTCACTACTAATGCCATTTGTTCTTTCTTAGAAATGTCCCTAGACTCATCAACAATCAAACAAAACTTTGCATCACCAATTTCCTCACGTATACTATTTTGCACTTTTCTTGCATAAACATGTAGAATCTCCTTTTGGATTAGTGGAGAAGTGTACTTGGCATTCTTTGGGGCATTATCCAAAATAACCGAATCAACATCTTTATTATATGATGCTAAAAGTTTTAGCATCTCCAAGAAGTTCCCTTGATTAATTGAACTAGAACGTTCATCATGCCCTCTAAATGCACAAGCTTGGAAAGTTAACCATTTAACAGCATCTATTGATGTCTTAAGGCGTAAACGATTCTTGACAATCTCCTCTGCAGTTACTTTCTCTACTACTTTCTCAATGTGAGCGGATTGATTTTTGAGATTAAAATAACACTTTGTTGAAAAGTTATGAGCAGAATTGGAATCTTTCCCCATGTGACACAAAAATGCACAATCCTTCCCATTATTTACTTTCTTCCAATTTTTAAAGCCCTTCACTGTGAATGTATCCGAACCACATCTTCCAAGAGGCTTTTTAGCAAAAAGAAAGCAATAGAAACAATAAGCAGCATCCATTGTGGGAGAATACTCTAACCAAGGAAACTTCACAAACCAACTTTTTTGGAACCTACGTGGGTGTTTTTCGGAACCAGAGTATGGATAATTATCAAGTTTAGGTTGATATGGCCCAAAATCAATGTAAGATCTCCTAATCAAATCTTTTTCATCTGAATCATATGTCTCAATTTGCTTACGCAACCCAGGATCACGCATTAAAAAATCAAGACCAATACCTTCTTCATTAGGCATTTGCTCATCAACATTGTCATTATTAATATTACGTTCGACTTCTTCATTATCAATGATAATTGGCTGATTTGGCTCAACAACAGGTATATCTTCATCACCCCTGCCCTTTTTTTGTGGAAGAAAATAAGAAGTGATAGTCCTCTTTGTCATTCCTAAATTACAAAAATTAACATCAAAAAAAGCATAATCAAATCTAATGATTATTGGGCAATATATCAAGTATAATTGCAATTGTATTAACTATTCTAATTATTCACAACTTTCATATAATTGTTTGGATTTACACATTTACTGATTTACATATACAATTAGAGTATTAAACCCCAAAATTTCTAATTCAAAATCTCACTCTAACTATTTATTCAACACACTAAACCTGTAATTAATATGAAAATTGAAGTAAACAAACAAGATTAAGTAGAAATTGATAATTAAATTACCTGAATTAAGGAAAATCAACAACAGCAAGCAAGAAACTTCAATGGTGATATGTACTGTTTGTTTCGTCACTTTGGGGGTTTTCACTGCTTTCCTTTTGTAATTTTGTGTTGAAGTGAATTGTAATGTTTGCAAGTTGTTATTTTTTTATTAGATAATTCTTTTATCTTTTATTTTTATTTAGTTGCAATATTTATATTTTGTCTTATCTAACAATATAATATAGTAGAATCTAGAAATATCAAGTACCAAACTCATCACATGCGTTAATATTAGTACATAAAGTGTGAGTTTGGTTTTGTATTAATTTTTTTTATTTGTTTGGCGGGCGCCACATGAATTTTTTATACTTTTACTTGTACTAAAATCCAAATATTACCAATGTAAAGCAATTCACTTGAGGGGGGCCTTGGCCCCCTTTGGCCCCTACTATCTTCCGCCCCTGATAGCCGGTCATTCTTTTGTCAACCTAATGAATTCACGTAAATTTCTTTTACATTTGAAGTTTTTAAATAATGAATTTTCAAGCTAAGCATTCTTTGCAATTTATAAAACTTTAGGGCCTGTTCTTGTCATCTTAATTTCAGTTCAGTTCAATTCCTAATTTCCTTCTCTCATAATCAGCTCAGTTCAGTTCAGTACAATTCAGCTCAACTCCAATCATTTCAGTTCACTTCAATATAATTCAGCTCAATTTAGTAAATCAGGTCCTTAATTGACAAAATCCACCCCATTGGTTTGACAAACACAATGCAAACTGTGCTTTGTGAAGAAAGGTAGTTCCATACTCCGTGACAAGAGAAACGGTCCGGCCGTAGAATTATAAAAATTGGCCAATTTTGACCTTACACATTGTAGTAAATCGTAGTTAAGCCATTAACGAAAAAAAAAGTAGCAATCTTGCATTTTATTTTTAAATTGACCAAGTTTAAAGTAATTACTCCCTCCGTTTTTAAATATTTGCTCAACTTTTCTTTTTCGGCCGTTTTTAAATACTTGCTCCATTTTCTTTTATGGAAAGTTTTACAATATTTAATTCATTTCTCACACTTAGTGAACCCAACAAAATACTCTCTCTCCTCCTATTCTTCCACTACTTTTGTTTTTTACAAATTTTTAATTTTCTCAACTACCCACTACCTCCATATTTTATTACTTTCTCCAATTTCTCCAAAAACTCCGCGCATGGAGAAATGGAGCAAGTATTTAAAAACGGATGGAGTATTTTTTAAGAGTGTCAATTTGGTGAATTCTTGCCAATGAGTATATTTTCTACGCCTGTCAAAATTATACGTAGTAATTAATACTGTATTACCTTCATTGTAATCTTCTTGTTCTACAAAGTAGTTGTGGGAAGAAATTCAACTATAGAGGCATACAAAAAAATAGCTCATGCATTATTGTAATTTTTCTTACCAAGGGGGATA